CTGATTAAAACTTGTCTTTCTACCTAACATAGCCAGCAGGGTAATGCTGACGACAGATATAAAAACTAAGCGACGTTAACATTGCGTTAACATTGATGGTACAATAATGTATAATGTCTCCCATAAGAAATGATAATTGCAAACTCGCAGGTTTAAAATGAAAAGAATGTTACGATTATTTTGGGTATTAGACGCTATCGATAAATGTCAACAGCGGTAGCATGTGGGTGACTTCACACCTAATACATGTTGCTGTTGAACTGATTGCTTTCTCCAGACCTGGTCTGTTCTTTACGACCTGCCCAACTTCTGACATCTTGGCTCCGTGTACACTTCCTGAATTATGCTTTGATCGTAGATTGTTCTTTATTGAGGACGCATTACATCTCTCATTGTAATGCACACATAATGCAGATGTCGTCACTGCAACATTATTTGACAAATAAACAGGTTTTCATTGCTCTCAATGATAATGTAGTGTAGTGGGTGATCGTATTTAATTAACTACATTTGCAAACCACAATGCAAAGAACAGAATGTTGTATCCGCAAAGGTAATTACGCTGCGTTTATAGTAGGGGACGATTCTGAGGCTCCGCATCAAACATGGAAGAAACATCCCATTGTAATGATTAAAGACGTTTTGAGTGAGAAATAAAGTGCACACATGTGACACCGATGAATCATTACTGTGATGCTTAGAAAGTGACACCGCAAATGTTATTAAAGACGTTAAACCAAGTCTTAAATTTTATCTTAAATTTGATTGTTGGATTGTTGTCCTCAAAATAACGTTGTTAATTAACTACCATATAAATATATGTTTCAAATACATACTCTATTACGAATGAGAGTACAGATGCAGAAGGCCGCAGTTAAGTATTCAGTCGGGCGGTGAGTGGCTGTGATGTTTGTTAGGCTGTGTATCATCTTAAACTTTCCTCTGTGCTTGGGTGAGACCATTGTGACATCGTTACCGTGACTTTAGAATCAAATAACGTCGCTAATATCTCTGCTACTGAAGCTGGTTAGCTGTACCTTTTACACACATGAATACTTTTGACTGTTTACAAACTGTAAAAGGTGGAAGAATGATTTTGGATGATATAACAGAGTCTCACCGTTGTGGTGATATTCTTTATTTATACTGTGAAAGGATGTACAGTGATTCTGTTGCCATCTTTCGATTTTCAGCAAATAATGTAGTCACACAATGTCGTGTTCCCATATTTGTATTCAGTCATCAATAATATTATAGTTTGTCTGGAAAGAGTGTTGTAGATGGCTCTCTTTTTAAATAGTTGACCCCCATACCATGCTGTAATTATTCATAACAATGCCACGCTACGGAGCAATCGAACTAGTGTGATCTTGAGTGTGAAATTTTAGGGAATGGAGTAACTTATGTGATATGTATTGAGAGACAATATTTTTTCGGTCAAAGTATTAAGGTCTACTTCAGTTTAATCATTTCTATGATATTTGTATGGATTGGAATAGCATCTTTTGGTGTGCGCTAATGGTTATACTCATATGAAACAATGATGTTCCACAATTCAATCAACTTTACCACCCGTAACTAAGGAGTGTAATTATGTAAAACAATACAAATAAATAGGCTTCATTTAAAAAATAGAATCAGTCAACATATATTACTCCAAATTCCGCTCCGTTTCCGAGAAACTGAGATATTCGGTACATATAAACAATAGAAGAATATTTGTATTTGTAATTAGAATACTGCTATATCATTTGCTGCTAAGAGGCGTTATTGTTTGTGTTTCTGAAAGGAATACTCTATTCGCAAACACAAAGAAACAAAACGAAAGCGGACAAAATCACATTCACAAAGATACGAGTATAGCTGATTTTTGGTTGTCTCTAAATAAATTGCCATAATTACTAAAGATTCCGATTCAGTGGTGGGGAATGGGTGAGCTTGTCGCCTAAGGCGCCACAATTCGCTGTACGGAGTCCGTTTGGCGTGCCAGAAACCTATGATGTTCGGTTCGATTCCCGGATTCGCCTGATTATGTTTCTTATTTCTTCACCATACCACTGGTCGTTGGTTTCGCCAAAGTGGTAAACATTTTATAAAATAGACCTCCCACATCAAGTTGACACACACTGATATAACTGCAATACTGTTCAAAGCGACGTTAAATAACACTCACTAAACTCATTCCGATTCAGTCAGATAAGACAGCAAAACACTCCATCACTATGACGGCAACATAGTCTGATGAAACAAGTTCATGGATTTGGACTGTTTAGCGATTGATTTTTTTAGCAATTACATATATAAGCTGGGCATTGAGTCTAACGATTTCCACTACGATCCCCTGTCACTGCTGATCTTCAATCACGCGAGTATGAACATGCTAAAGGGAGGTTTTATTTCCCAGGACAAAAAAACCCACTGATGCTGACACATCAGCATAATACACGTGTGAATTGGTTCCAAATAATTTAGGGGGCGGTGTGGTAGCTTAGTGGTTAAAGCGTTGATCCCCCACATGGGTACAATGTGTGAATCCCATTTCTGGTGTCCCCAGCCGTGATATTGCTGGAATATTGCTAAAACGGGCGTAAAACCATACTCACCCAAATATACTCTTCAAAGCAAAGCCAGATTTGTGTGAGGAAGGAAAATACATTTATACGAAGAACTGTACAAGGTACTGAGCCAAAATGTTGTGGAGAGAATACTTGGTGATTGTAGTCATCTCAGTTATCGGTACATAAAAAGCCCAAGGTGAAGGTCAGCTACGGTCAATAACGCGTACGTCTCCCGTTGGAATCGATAGCGTCCTGACATCTACAGCCTATGGAAGAGACGAGCATGCGAATCATATCCTGGGGAGTAGTAGGCCACTACGCCTGCAACGCAAAAGCCAACTGCTGCAACGTCTGGGGTTGTGGTTGGCGTCGGCGTTGCCGTCTTTCCAATTCATACCACGGGTGTTTTATCGGGTTCAAATCCGGGAATCTGGAGGGCCAGGGGAGAACATCAACGTTGTTGTCGTGATGTCTTGTGATGCGTGATGTATGCGGTCGAGGGTTGTCCTGGTGGAATACACCGTTGGCTGCAATTGGGAGGACGTGTGGTAGGAGAATTTCGTTGATGTATCGTTGAGCCGCAAGACTGCCCTGGATATGGACCAAACCCTTCCTGCCATGATGAGATATAGCCACCCACATCATAACGATACCCTCACCAAACCTGTCCATTTCCTGTACGTAGTTTCCGGCGTAACGTTCTTCCCGACGTCTGTAGACCCGTGCTCTTCCATCCCCTCGACGGAGGAGTAAATCTTAATTCGTCGCTGAACCAGACATCTCTCCATCGCATGTTGAGGTCATACCCAGTCGTAATGCAGTTGTTGTTGACGATGCTGTCGACTCAATATGACGCGTCGAACAGGACAGCTTGCTCGTAGACCTGCTGCTCTTAAACGGTTTCGTACGGTCTGGTCGGAGATTATGTGCATCCGGGTATTTGGGATGCGGTTGACGTGGCTGTGGTCGTCTTTTCACGTAGACGGCACAGTCGGACGTAGCGATCTTCGGCGGGGACGGTTATTCTTGGTCGTCCCGACCTTGGCCGATCACGTGCTTGCCGTAAAAGGTGATTATGCTTGTCGTAAAAGGCGACTAATGGGTTGATGCATGTCAACGATCCCAATTGCGTGGATCGATGCTCATGATATTATTCACTGGATTGTCTGGTCCAGACTCGATTATTTACAGACCGTCGTCATATACCTGGAATATTGCTGAGTGCGGCGTTAAACAACAAACAAACAAACAAACGTGTTGACCCATGCTGTTGAAACCGATCCCACAGCCCCGTGATGGTGCTGGCCTCTTCATTGAAAACCCTGGCTCCAGCTAATAGGGATTCACCTGCCTGCAAGCGGCCTATGACCTTGTTTCTTTGCACTTCTGTTAATCTTGGCATGTTGTTGAAATGTCACTGTTCGATTGACGCAGATGCCAGGCAATCAAAAACCATGCACTTTAATACCGTTGATAGTGCTGCTGAACGTGCAGTGCGTGCAGCTCAATGGCCTTTTTGTTAATGCACTGGGTGCGTTTCTTTCCGAATCGTACGACGTCGTGTTTTCCGACTAATGGTTTGCATGTCCTTGTTGTGATCATTTTGATCCGGAAAATTTGTTACTGACACTTTAACACATTAAACCTCTTCATTTTGCACCTCTTGGTCCTCTAATTTTGTTCTTATTGCCAAAAATATCCGTTTTGCGTGTCTTTTTAAAGAGTATACTTAGGATGAGGCTAATAGACGCATTCATAATATCCAATTACTAGTAAAATGTGAGAGAATATACAATGTACAAATTGCAGCTAATTCATAGCCTCATTAACATTCCTAATTGATACATGCTGAATGTGTTTTTTGTGATCATGACATTGCCAAGAATATATTGCTTTGATATTTAACATGTAATTCCCATATGCTCTTTGTAAAACACGTGCTGACACGTGCTGATCAAGCGAATTAATCTGAGGCCCTGTGCATATTTCCTTCGCAATGGTGTGGATCCCTTGAGGTGGGTTCCGAGAACGGCCCCATTTATTATAATTATCTGTGGTTTGTAAACATCTTACCGGTGCTAGTAGGTTTCACAAGAGGATGAACGCTGAATACTGGCTTTGCTTCGGACTTCCTTCCCACATTAAGCCCACATGCCGTGATATAACGTAATTACTGTTCAAATTAGTGAATTTAACCCAACTCAATAAGTCATACGGAACAAAATATCAAGAATATAATTAGATGGTGATTAAAACATGTTAATGGCATATTATAAGTACAATTAATAGTGGCACATTAGGAAATACTATGTTTATAGCTCGCCATTTGATAGATCTGAAAAAGAGTAAAAACATTTTCCTCACAGCATAACGAGAGATCGTTTATATCCATAAACGCCACTGTATCTAATGATGACACCTCCAGTTAATCAGGTGCCTCAGTCTGGATATTACTCTCTCATGGGAGGCAACTGTTCTTTGTCTAACATCTCCAAAGCATAGCCAGTGTCCAAATGGGTGGAACAGGACAAGCACTGTGCGCATGTGTCTGATGTATTCGACGCATTAAGAACCAACGTTGGAAGCATGGCGTCACGAACCAAGATCAATGATAAAGTATAGATGAGAGAGAAGCTGCAGGCTCCCCACAAGGCGAGCGGTTGGCATCAGGTTCCAATAAAGGATCACCGTTCGGAAGTTAGGTTTTCATGCAGCCTGTACAAAACACAAATGATGGATTTGTGGATAACACGCAGGTCCACGTTGACTTACAAAGTTGTCTGGTAAGTGTTATTTGTTATGGTTTTAAATTTTAAGCAGAAGTTTGGCAGCGTGTTATATCCATTGTTTATGTTCGTTCTAATTACCCATGACGGAGATTGTCAATGATTATCTGTTGTGACGTGTGTTTATTTGGTAGTGTAATTTGACTGTATATCTTTCAGTCAGTATTGTGTGTGGTGTTAGATTCACAGACTGATTAACTTCTGGACAAATTCAAGTCGATTAAGCTTAATGCATTCTATCTTATATGAATTATCCTTTTCAGTTGTAAATATATAAGCATCGTATTTGTACAAAACATATAATGTCAATGAAAGAGAATAACCAGCCTGGCGTAAAGGATCAATTAGCTGTGAAAATTATCTGAATGGACAACTGAAAGTACCATCAAGCTATGACCTCTTTACGATATGTAGTTTAGCTGAAAATGTCCTCAATATTAATAATAGATCAAAGTTAATTAAAATGCATTGGCCACACAATACTACAAACGTTTGCACTGTAAACAAGAAAATAATTAGTAAGCGTCTTCCAGCTTTTGAATATTTTAAAGAATGTTGTTTTACGTCACGGTCAGCAATATTAAAGCTGCACGTTAGCACTTATTTAATCTCGCCTGGATAAGGCAAACCAGAGGCTGACAATTGAGCTGCGATCTAGGCCCCCAGTGTAAATTATGACTGGACGTCTCAATCAGCCAAGTAACACATTACACATGTTGCTATCTGATGCTTATCTGGCTTACATGTATATTACAATTAGGGGGCCTTCCGGGTAAAGATTGTTGTGTTGGGTGTTGCTGTAACTGAAGTCTGATATATGCGTGTAATAAAACAACAAGGGGAGGAAGTAGTATGTGACACATATGTGATAAATACACGCTAGAATCTTACAAGATCTTACCATGAGCTGATTGGAAGATTCCGATGTCACATTCTATTGGCTGACAATGGCTACCGCGCTGATGAATATTTTTACCAAATATCGTCTCGAAAGTAACAGTCTGCAAAAGCATGCCTTTTGGAGCGACAGTACCCTTTTCTCCCCGACCAGGTAATATCTCAAGTTCTCTATCATATTAATAAAACGCCCAAGTGCATGTGCATGGCACATACGTAGAGGACAAATGGTTGGTGTGGTGACGGTGTGGGTTGGTGGTGGTGTGTGGGGTAGGTGAGTAAGTGGGTGAGTGAGTTAAATTCACATCGACAGTATTTCAGCCATATGGTGACTACTGAAAGTTCTACATTAATTGTATATAACTTTAAGTCTCTATTAAACGAAGAAGAAACGAAGAACAACAAGACGATCACAAATGTGTATTTAGCAATTTAGTATTTATGCAACCGTAAAAAGATATCTCTATACATCCAAATACCTTATAAAAACTAACGATTGCCTACAACAAAAAGTTGTCAGCCACCATGACGACTTACAGTACCTCTGCTACCTGCATGGTACTCCAACAGGATTTATACCAGCCCTTTAGGAAGAAAGTTCAGCGAGATATTAAATTTTATACATACTACGCCGGAGTAGAATAGGTCTTCAGCAACACATGCTTGCCGTAAAAGGCGACTAGGCTTGTCGTAAGAAGCGACTGACGGGATCAGGTGGTCAGGCTCGCTGACTTGGTTGATGCATGTCATCTTATCCCAATTGCTTGGATCGATGCTCGTGATGCCAACCACTTGATTGTCTGGTAAAGACTAGATTATATACAGACCGCCGTCAAATAGCTGGAATATTGCTGAGTGCGGCGTAAAACAACAATCAAACAAACAACATATTACGCTTAAAAACTGGAAGGCAATTATACAAAAACAAAAAACAACTAGGAATGACTTGATTAATTTCCCATGAACCACATAGTTATCGAGGTTTTCTTTCAGAAATAAGGCTTAGTAAAATTTTGAAACGTCAATTCCAAACGTCAGTGAATAAGCAATCTCGATCATCTGCCGAAACAGGTTCCATTGGGCGTAAAAGGCAAATTAGTGGTGAAAATCATATGAATGGATCACTGAAAATCAGTGATGACACCAGGTGTTCGCAAAAGGGTGTGCGTGCCCAGCTCCACCGGCAGCACCCGCCACTCACACATTTTTTTATATAAAAATGTAAGTGTTTGTTTTTTGCTTAACGCTGCAGTGAACTGTCAAACACATATTAGAACAGTTATTTCAAACTGATCAAATGCGATCATCATGTTTTCCCTCCTTTTTTACAAAGAAGGCAACTCCTTTTGGTTGGCTCCCATTGGTTGACTCCCATTGTACCATGGTTTAATGAGGCGTGGAAACTCAACGATTTTCTGTTGCTAAGGTCCGGCCCATTAATACTGCGTACAGGACCAAAACATATCACTCACCCTGAAAAATCGTCCAGAAGGCATGCTTACCATGACGAGCAAGATGATAACAGTATTTCCATAAATTGGCGGGGACACGGCAGGCCCAGTCGTCTAAGGCGCCGCGATTCGCGTCCATTGGGCACGCCAGAAACCTATGATTGTGGGTTTGAATCCCGGTTCGCCCCGATTATGTTTCTATGGTTGTCAGCACCATACCCGTGCTCGTGGGTTTCGACGAAGTGGTAAACGTCTGTGACCTTCATCACTTCGGGTTTTCCTTAAGTTGACATGCCGTGATACAACTGGAATACTGTTAAAAGCGGCGTTAAACCCAACCCACTCACTCACCATAAATTGGCTTTAGGATTGGCATCGATGTGGGCAATGGAAACCCTTGGTATGATGAGCAACGTTTTAACCTCGAGGCTTCCCCACTGCTCCTTCTCACTATTAGTGTATCACATGCTACAACTACAAATCACGTGAGTATACGACTAGCTTCGGGGTTTAGTTGACAGACCCAAAGAGCGGAATGTCGGCTTTTCGATCCCCGGCCGCGTGGTATCTCAGTATGCCATGGCCAGCACTATACAAGCAGGCACTCACACGTGCATGTATGTCTTTATATATGTGCAATATTCTTGAACTCGACGTAAAACCCCATTTCACCTCACCTAAACACATGAGTGCCCTATGATTTTTCACTACGCGAAGGAACATAATTTCATTATTAATGTTTGGAACTGAACGTGTAATCCGAGGTCTGTATAAACAAGTACTCGAACTACATGTATAAACATAAGATCAAAGAATTCATGGAAATGTTACTTGTACATACGGCAATAAGCGATGTTCGTATGTTTCAAATGTGAAGCTCCAAATGTTAGTAAGTAACTGTTCTTACACGCAAATACGACTCTTGCATGTATAACATGATTTGTGATTGTGTCAAACGTGTACAATCTACCTTTTGTTCCCGTGTACGTTTATTATGTAAATGTGTATGCCATGTCCTAGTATCTTCATTTAATCGGCATTGAAGCAACGTGTGTTGAAGTGCAGGGAAAGGCATTAATGTTTATCAATATTTCGTATTTCGAAACGAGTAAGATTCCAAAATGACAACCAAATATCTCTTTTTGAAAAAGTACTCATATGACGATTGATTTCACTATAGTGAGTGAGTTATGTTTCACGCCGCTTTTAACAGTATATATCCAGTTATATCACGGCCTGTCAGCTTAATGTGGGAGGAAAGCTCGAAGTGATGCAGGTCTTAGACGTTTACCGCTTCGATGAAACTCACGAGCACGGGTATGGTGCTGACAAGCCTAGAAACATAATCGAGGCGAACCGGGATTCGAACCCACAATCATAGGTTTCTGGCGTACCCAAGGGACGCCATTCTGCACAGCGAATTGCGGCGCCTCAGACGACTGGGCCACCCGTGCCCCCGATTTTATGATAAATGTGTGAAGTAATTTGTGAATTTGGCGCATACCGATGTAATTGCAGAGAAACGAAAGTTTTTATACCAGTTAATAACCAACAAAACACTCTTGCTACAGAGCAGCAGACACTCATAACATGGCTATATACACGTCAGAGTGTTTAAGTGAGTGAGTATGGTTTTTCGCCGCTTTTAGCAATATTCCAGCAATATCACCAGAAAGGGGCTTCACACATTGTACCCATGTCGAACCCGGGTCTTCGGCGTGCCGAGCGAACGTTTTAACCACTAGGCTACCCGACCACCCCTTCAGAGTGTTTAAAGAGTAGACAATGCGTTGTATGCAAACATCATATTACACAAGATATGAAAGCATCTTCTTTATTGCTTGAACGAATCTTGCAATGTAACATATTTGCAATCTGAATGTTCGCAATGATAAGAATTATGTGGAACAAAAGGTTTCAGTTTGCAGTGAAACTGTCCGGAGTACTGTATCTGAGCATAAATTCAACAGATTTGTGTTATTACGAACGTTGTATATACTCGCTTGTGTGGAAGTGCCTTATCCTCTACCGTCAAAAAGGTGTGAATTCCTGATTAAGAGGGTTCAGATTAACCAGGTTTCACTCTATAGTGTTTGGTCCTCTAGGATGGAGACATACAAAACCTCTGGCTGAGAGCCGTATCGTTACATATCTGAAACGACGTAGTGTGCAAAGGGCCCTTTTGGGCTACGGAATATGGATTACTTAAGAAATGAGGAAACCGTACACAGATCATTATGAAAGTTATGAGATCTGCCCATATGGATGACAGTTCATTTCAAAGTCAACATGTAGGAGACTAACAACAAACCAAATTGTACAGGCAAGGACAGAAAATGTTAAAATGTCTGTGAAGCGTTTTTAAAATATTTGAACATGAGCAAGTTCTTGACACACGCCTACTTTCGTAGGAGATGTAGATCACGGTACAAACGTGTGGTTATAAATTCATCTTGGGTCACGGACTTGCTTTTAGTTAGATTTTCTCGAGAAAAAAGTCTTACAAATATACTTGAACATTACAGTAGTAACAAAACATATAGGTGTAGAAACCTTAGTCAGCCATGTGTGCGATAATTTTCATACCAATTACGTTTTCCGCAACTTTTAGATTTGACAATATATTCCAGTGAGCCGAAACGGGCCCTT